CACGAGGACCTGAGTTCAAAAGCCAGCCTCAGACCAAACACTTGATACTTACTAGCTGCGTGACTCTGGGCAAGTCACTTAACCCCAATTGTCTAATTAAAAAGAAAAAAAGTTAAGCAAGCCCAGTATCTACACCTGACAATGAATGAAACATTCTATCCTACCTATATCTACACCTGACAATGAATGAAACATTCTATCCTACCTATTTCCCCATTTCTCCATGAAAGGAAAGGAGTATGTTTCATTTTCCATTCTTCAGAATCACTATTAGTTTCTAAATTATGTAAGTCTACCTTTCTTTTGGTTTGCTCTTTTTTTTGAATTTGCACTGAAGTAACTATTGTGCATATTGTTCTTATACTTCTTTTTATTTCATTCTGCATCAATTCATAAAAATCTTCACATTTCTCTGAATATTCTCATTTTCAACATTTCTTACTATATAATGTATTCCATAACACTCATACAACACCACAGTTCGTTCTCCATTAAAAAGGTTCTCATTCTGCAATTCTTTACAAGTAAATACAAACACATAAAGCCAATGTTGAATAGGGAGGTATATATGGGACATTCACTTCCATTTTTTTTTTATCTCCATGGGCTATGCATAACCAGTAGTAGGATCATTGGGTCAAAAGGTATGAGTGATTTACTAATCTTCTTGCACAATTGCATATTTTAACGAGAAAAGTTGGACTAGATAATGTCAACCAACAATATATTAGTTCATGCCTGTCTTCCCATAGCTGCTCCAGTATTAACTGACCCCATCTATCATCATCTGTGTGAATTTACCTGTTTGTTCTTTGGCCTGTTGCCAAATCATGACTCACTGATTTGTATTCATGCTGATGAATGAAGCTAGAGAAAATCTTGAAACAGTGCGTCGTGGGTCCACTACAAATTCTTGTCTAATCTAAACTGGGCCCTTACCACAACAATCCAATCCTACTCCTCCCTAATTGATTCTCTAACTGTTCACATTGAACTGCATGTCAAGTAGGCATTTCAAATTTTCTATTTTCAAAGCAGAATTTATTATTTTTCAACCCAGACCCTCCTTTGTTCCAAATTTCCCTATCATTGTCAAGGGTACAGCCTTGTTATTATCCTCAAATTCTCACTCTCACACAACATTGCCAATCCATTGCCAAATCTTGTCATTTTCACCCTCACAACATCTTCATATTCACACACTCTCAACATTAGGTCAAGCCCTCATCACCTCTCACATGGACTATTGCAAGTTTTCTAACTTGTCTTCCTGACTCAAGTCCCTTGCTACTCCAATTCATCATCTACTTAGAAACTGAGGCCCAGATCATGTAAGTGACCTTCTCGAAAGTTATTAATGTACTAAGTGGAAGACATGGGATTTGAACACAAAGTCCTTGGACCCCAAATCTTACATATTTTCTACTGCTGCAATCTCAAAAGGAACTGGAGCTGACTAAGCAGAAGGAAATTGGAAATGCAAATAAAAGAAGTTCAGAATTGTGGAAAGGAAGGACAGAGATTTGATCTGGGGAAGAAAGATTTGAGGGAATTTTAGGAAAAGTTGGAGAATGACCTAAATTAAAGGAGTTGGAGGAAAAGGGATCAATCTGTAGGCATTTAAGTATTAAGACAAATGACATAAACAGGGCAAGAGCCCAAAGAAAAGGAAAATGTAATAGATAAGAGAAAGAAAAGTAAAATAAGACAAAGCAAGGTAAGGTAAGAAAAGAAAAGAATACTAAGCAAAATCAATTGGTAAGACTACAGATTAGTTAAAGGAGGGGGGTGTGGCTATCAAGCAGTTAAGAGATTCCAAAGAAGTCTTCCTAAAGAAGCTAAAGGATCCAAACCAGCCTTCCTTCATTCTGCAGACCATAGTCATGCCTCAATTGCTTTCTGCTCCTGCCCCCTTTAGGTTCCCTCCTCCTACTGCTGAGTTCTTCCTGGAACTTCCATTTTGAGGAAGAGCCAAGACCAGCTGTCCTTCAGTTCCCATGTATGTGTTGTCTCCACTCCTTGAAGGAAGGGATTGTCTTTCTTTTTGCTTATATTGGTATCCTCAGTGCTTAGCACAGTGCCTGGCACATTGTAATAAATGCTTGTTGACTTGACTAACCAGATGCTAAGGTCACTGACACCCTTAAACCAAGCTAAATATCAAATCTGAGTAAATGAATTTATTATTTAAATTCAAAACAAATTTTAAAATGGAGTTAGAAAGGAAAATCTCATTGACTTTACCAGGGGTAGTGTGAGAACTAAATGCAATAATGGATGTAAAGCACTTGGCAAACCTTGAAACACTATATAAATGCTAGTCGTCGTTGTTGTTGTTGTTATCTTTAAAGTGCTATATAAATGGCAGTGATTATTATCATTAGCCTGTAGTCACTACACCTCCAGTCTGGCAATGATTTCATTCCTTGAGCCTTCTCCAGATCCCTTACCACAAGGGTGTGCTAACAAATGTTTAACAACTTCAGTGGGGGCAGGGGAAATGTATATACATATACTTTTAAGTTTAATTGGCATTATACATATATTTATATATATTTAATGTGTGTTGTTTGCATATATTCAGGTTCTTAGATAGATATTTGCTGTTTAGTCATTTTCAGTCTTGTCCAACTCTTCGTGACCCATTTGGCGTTTTCTTGGCAAAGATACTAGAATGGCTTGCCATTGCCTTCTCCAGCTCATTTTACAGATGAGGAAACTAAGGCAAATAGGGTTAAGTGACTTGCCCAGGGTCACACAGCTAGTATATGTCTGAGGCCAGATTTGAAATCAAAAGATGAGTCTTCCAGACTCCAGGCCCAGCACTCCATCCACTTTGCCACCTAACTGCCCTGAGATAAAGAGACAGAGATAGGGATTTTCAAAGGACCTGGATTCAAATGCTGGCTCTGCTACTTACAAGATGGTAAATCTTCTCCCTTTTCTGGGCCCCAATTTCCTCCTCTATAAAATAAGGCAATTGGACTAGATCTTGTCAAAGGTTTTTCCTAATTCCAAATGATATGACTCCAGAGATGAAAGAAGTTGGTAACCTGCTATTGATCTGAGCCCAGGGCCATACCCTGGGGACAAAAGATAAGCAAACCAAAGATTATCTTTCACCTCCAGTATCTCCACCTCCATCACCATCACAGCCCATATTCATCCTCACCCTCTTTGTGAGACCTCTCCTTCAAATAGTGAAGAAATGACTCAAGCTGGGACCAGTGTGACCTGAGTGCATTTTATTAGGATTGGGAGAAAGCAGGACTGGGTAGAGTGAGGGAAAGAGGTAGCTTTCATAACCAGACCCTATGCCTGATTCTGACTGTTCAGCTAAAGGGGGAAGAAATAACAACAAAAACAACTCATGGTCCCTCATGTGCTGCTGGGGCCAACAACAAGCACTTATTAAGCACTTACTGTGTGCCAGGCAGAGTGCTAATACAAATACAAGCAAACAGAAAGATAGACTCTGCCCTCAAGGAGCTTACTTTCTGATGGGGGGAAGACAATCCCTCAAAGAAAGTTGAAGAGGGGAGGGAGTAGCGAGAGAGAAGACATGATGGAAAGAGAAATCCAGAGATTCCAGAGTGGAGTACAGAAAGGAATGAAGGAATAAACATGGCTAGCTTGAACACTTGACTTAAAATGCAGGTACCATGTGGAGTCACAGGAAGTGGTCACAGAGGCAGTGATATTCCAAGGTGAGAGGACTGTTGGGGCAACTAGGTGACACCAGAGTACATAAAATTCTTGTACTTGGATTCAGGAAAACATGAGTTCAAATGTGACTTAGACACTTCTTAGCTGTGTGACCTTGAGGAAGCCACTTAACCTTTGTATCCCTCAGTTTACTCATCTTTAAAATGGGGATAATAATACCTACTTCCCAGGGTGGTGAGGATCAAATAAGACAACATTTGCAAAGTTGTTGGCAAATTATAAAGCACTATATAAATTATTCATATTGTTTTTGTTTGTTTTTTTATTATTATCTTTCAAAATGAGGAGGATATTGGGTCACGGTAGAGAAAGAACTGCAGAGAATCGAGTGAAGCTGGAGTGGAACGTGGAGTGAACACGCTAAAAGAACCTATATGATAGGTTTGATAATTTGCTGCCCTCCTTCGCTCCAGGAGTAACTTCCAAAAAGCTGATTCTGTAGGAAAGAGGAGACCACAAACTAGAAGCCAGAAGCTTGAGCCTGGCCTCATTGACATTGGCTTTCCCCAGCTCAGCAGGCCACCTCTCATTGTGGGGAGTTCATTTATCAGGGGAGCCAGTCATACCTCAGTTCTTTCTAGCTGACCTTGTATTTCCTATCAACTGTCATAAATTCTGAGAAGGGCAAAGGGCAAGGCAAAGGAGGGATCAAGACCATGACTGAAATCTAGTCCTATTGGCTGCCCACCAGGCCTGTACTCAGACCCTCTGATAAGGTCCAGGAAGCTGAATCCATTCCCCAGCTCCTAGAAGATAACCTCCAGAATATCAGAGCATCCAACACTTCTATAGGAAACTAATCCCCCAAAAGGATACAAATAACTCATATGAAGGGGGTCTCAAGGAGTGATGATGAGGACACTGAATCTCTGCCTGAGCCACATGGCAAATAGGTATGGCAACTTGACTTTCAAGACCATGGATGGGAGGTACCTCATCTAGGAAGCAGGCCTATCATAACATGGTACATCATTCCTGAAAATTAGCATTTGAAAAAGGTAATATTATTAGTACCAAAGAGGACATAACTTCTAGTGTCCTTGGAACACTTGGCAAATATATAATAGTTGACTGTACATTCTATTAATAAGGGATCTTTATGAGTAATTGAAAGGGGACTTGAAGTTTCTCATTGTCAAAAACACTACCACCTCCACTCCCTAACCCTGCCTGAAACAGAAGACAGTATAAAGGCACATAAGCTAAGTGCATGAGACACTTCTCGAAACCACCATAGCATCCTGACTGCAGTGGCAGTCCAAGAGACCAGCACCATGAAGATAAATCTTCTACTGAGCCTAGGGCTGGTCCTAGTCTCTACTGTCCATACCTGCCAGGCTGCATCTGATAAAAATGCAATAGATGATATGCAACAGGTATCAGGGGGAATGGAGGACCTGGGTGGATTCTTTCTCCACTTACAGCTAAGAAAATAAAGCCTTTAGTCACTGATCAGGACCAGGACAGGATTTGGAAAAGAATTGGAAAGATTCTTCTGGTGAGAATACAGGAGAAAAGGAAGCCTCCTATATCTGACCTAGCAATCATAATGTCACTTCCTCCATGAAGATTTCCTTAGTTGCCCCACTGACAGTAATCTCTTCATCCCTTGAGCTCATAGCACTTTATATTTCTTTTATGTACTTATATTTTTATTTGTATTATAGTCATTTGTGTTACCTATTCTATTTCCTGTACTAGAGTAGGTGAACCTTGAAGGAAAGAACAATGTCATATCCATTTTGTAACACCTCCCAATTAGACATAGTCTTGCACATAGTCAGGGCTTAATAAATGGTTATTCATTGAATTGTAAATTAGTTCTGTACTCTAGCCTTCTGCAGATTGGGAGCAAGAATAAAAAGAGAGTTTCTTCTAGACTTTTTCATCAGTTTTCAGGAAAGTGGTTTTCCATTTACTTGGCTTCAAGTATACAGAAGCGGATAGAGGATGGAGGTGACATGAAGCTTTCCATAAAAAGTATCGCAGTGCGTGAGCACGTTGTCCTATTTGACATGTATCTCTTGTAAGTAATGGGGAAAAGATTTCAGGTGCTGGAGTCACAGATATGCTACCTGCCACACATACACACACATAAAAAAAAAAAACAGACACTTGGAATAAGAGCCTTTGACCTATGCATTTAGGTCTGTGTTTGGGCTAGGACACAAAGGCCCAAAAATTCTAAAGGAATTGAAAAGGGGGGTGGGGGTGGGGAAAAGTGGTGCAGAAAGGAGGATGTCAGCATGCAAAGAAACCCAAGTGGAGAAGATAAAAAATATACAAATCTGTTACCCCCTTAGTGATCAGGCCCCTGAGACAGTAGTACTAGAAAGAATGCACATGCCACCATTTAGAGTGACTGAAGTCCAAATTTTTTGTTCCAAAGAGTTGTTGTTTTATTGTTGTTGTTTGATTGTTCTTTCTATTCCAGGAAAGATGGGAAATGTATCCAACATTTATTGGTTGCTAATAAAACAGAAAAAAATAATGTGCTAAAATTGGATTGTAAGTATAAAACAAACATTCTCATGGAGGTTCATCTCCCTCCAATGACAAAAAAGTATAGGAATACAATTAGTCTAATTCGATTCAACCAAAGGAAAAGTCTATGAGTTCCAAAATTTATGACTTGAGACAGTTTGACAGGCCTGTTTGGAGGATCAGAATAAGATTGAAAAATTAGTCTCTCTCAAAAGGACAATTCATTTCAGGAGTTTTTGAAAAGATGAGACTAATTTTTTAGTTTTGTGTCCCCAGGCCCTAGTACAGAATATTACACATAGTAGGCTGCAATAAATGTTTTGAACTGAATTGAACTGAATTGAAGGAAGATTGATTGTTCTATTTGGGAGGTCTATATTCTGAGAATATGGCATTGTTTGAGGGAGTGGATTGGTTTGGAATTGACTAAAGTGCCTAAGAAGTCTTGTGTAATGTCATCGTCAGGAGTCTCAGAGTCTAACGCTTACTCTGTTTTTAGCATTGTTATATAGTGGGAAAAGATCTAGAGTTGAATTTAAATATTGCCTCTGACACTTAATAGCTATGTGACAATGGGTAAATGCTTGAATATCTAGTGAGGGAGTATGGTACAGTGAGAAAGAGCATCGTCTCTAGAGTCAAAAGACTTGAGTTCAGGGGGCAGCTAAGTGGTGCAGTGGGTAGAACACCAGCCCTGGAGTGAGGAAGACCTGAGTTCAAATCTGGCCTCAGACACTTACTAGCTAGCTGTGTGACCCTGGGCAAGTCACTTAATCTGCATTGCCTCCAGAATAAAGACTTGAGTTCAGATCTTCCTCCTTCAGCTTATTGCCCCTGTGCCATTGGGTAAGTCACTTAGCCTTCTACTATAAAATTAAGGAGTTGGATAAAATAGCCTAGGAGATCCCTTCCAGCTCTGAAACTATGATCCTCAGATCTTTGATCCTTAGTTTCCCCATCCATGAAATGGGACTAAGAATTATTGCAGTGCCTATCTTCTAGAAGTATTGAGTGACTTTGCAAACCATGAAGCATGATATAACCTTGAGTTGTTATTATTTTCAGTCTTAGGGAAGTTGCTTAACTTTTGGGTCTCAGTTTTCCCATCTACAAGATGGGGAAAGATAATACTCCCCTTACCTATCTCCCAGAGCCTTGCAAAAATCAGTAGGAATAACATGGAGCTTGGGGACATTTTGAAGAGTGTCAAGTTTTATGAAAGCATAAGGTGTGATTATTAGAATTGACAAGTTAGAGAATGCATATGCTTAAAGTAGGTGGGGTACAATCACTGAGCTAGCTCAGGAAGCACCCTAGTACATGCCAGTTCTCATTTCTTGATTCTTTAGGAATTCTGATCTTACTCTTCTGGTGATTTCACAGATGAAGGAAAAAATACTGTCCATGTGGAGAAAGCTGATGCACAGAAATATATTATCTTTTCTACACATAACATTCAAAATGGGACAGAGACTGTGGTGCTGGAGCTCTACGGTAAGTGTCCCCCAATATATTCCCAACCCCCACACTACAGCATTCCCTTGTGATCAAAGGAAAAAGCCATAACATAGTAGGAAGAGCTTTGAATTAGACATCAGGACACCTGAATACTACTCTCAGTTCTAGCCCCTGCTTAGCTTCACATCCCCTGCCTGTATCTGTTTTCCCTTCCATAAAGTCGGGATAAAAGCCACTGATTTGCTACCTTTAGGGGTCATTATGATTGAGTAAGCTAACACACACTTTTGTAAACTACAAAGTACTGTACAAATATAGCCAATTATTAGTATTTTGGATTCTAGGAAGGAAAGTTTTTTGGCAGGATAGGATATGCAAAAATAATAATAATAACATATACATGTGCTTTTCTACCTCTTTTATCTCTTTCATTTCCCTATGCTTGGCTGCACTCTTTCTCTATCTTTGTTTAATCCCTTCTTTTTGTTTTCCAACTTCTTCACCCTTTCCTTCCTCTACTAACTCTCCCTCTCTTTCAATACAAATTAGTCTCCTTGTATCTCATGCACAACTTACTAGATTTTTGATGCTGAGAGAGTTTCAGCTTTACTTCTCCAAAAAAATGACCCAGGGCAGAGAGCAATGGGGAAGGAGTAATTCTGGTTAGACCTTTATAAGTCATTTACCCACAGTCTTACTTATTGGAGATTGCAGTCTCTTTAAGAATTGTTTAAGAACAATTATCTTATCACCTTTCTCCTCTGACTTTTACCCTACTGAATCACTGTAAATAACACACCTAATGCTAGGGCATAAGGTAGCTCTAGGCTCCTCAAAGATACCTCATGATTCACTCAGATCTAAGATTAGAACTCTAACTTTTTCTCCACTGTTCATATGTGAAGCTAACCCCTTATGATTTATCAAAAAGAATTAGTGAGAGAAACTCTATAATCACATTCTCATTCTTCACCCTAATTATAGGCCGGACCGAAGTTGTAAAAGAAAATATCAAAAAATTCTTTAAGAACCTTTGCCAAAAATATGGAATCAATAAGGATGATATCATTGACATGACCAAAGATAGTAAGTTTTGTTTACTTTTCTGTTCTTTCTTCTTCCTTGATTAGAAAGAGGAATTCCATGGGATGGAAACAAGAGAGATTGGACTAAATCGCTTCCAAGGTCCCTTCTAGCTCTAAATTTATGATCTTATTATCCCATGACACACAGCTCAGGTGCTATTGTCCTAACTCAGAAAGCATTGACTATATCTTCTCTGGGTTGGTGACAGAAAAGGTGGTGCTTAATGTTCACTCATGTCTGCTGTTTTACTCCACAGATGAATGCAATAAAGACAGAGAATAGAAGAGTTATCACCAGCCTACAGGTTTGTGATTTCTGACCTTGAGTCTGTAAGCTGGGATTTTGTGTTCTGAGGTCCAGCTTTGTGACTTGGGGGGATAGCTATAAATCATGGATGGGATACCCCATTAGGCCATCCAGTGAACATCTAGGGGAGGAGCCTATCTGACCAAAAGGACTTAGTGGTTCTTTTGAAAGTATTGAGTGTGTCCTAAACACTGTCCCTCACTCCTTCATCCCTCTACCTCTATCCTCCAGCATCTTCCCATTCTTTCCCCCACCGTTACCTCCAGCAGTCATTCAGTGCCTTACACCAAGCATCCATTGTGTGTCCAACAATGTATTAAAACAGCAATAAAGGGAAGGGATCCTTCCCCTCAAAAAGTTTATTATATAATAGGGGAGATAGGACACACACATGAAAAAGGTAGGAGAGGTACAACCAAACGCATGCACAGATGAATATAATGGGACTAAGAATTAAGGGAACAAATTTATAAGAAAACAGTTAGATTCCAACAGAGTTAATCAAGGAAGGTTCCCTGGAGAAATGAGTTTTGAGGGAAGAAAGGCATATGGTTGAAAAATGTAGTGCACTAACAAATTAATCAGGCAGAAATAGACGTAGCATTTACTCTCTTTCTTTGGAGGCTTACTGTTTCCCTGGTCACCTCTCTGGGACACCTTTTACACACACACACACACGCACACACACAATGTAATTGCTAAGCACACTTGATCAAATGGAAAATTTATTAGGAGAAGGGGGAGTAGATGGTACACAGAGAGGAATAAAGCATTTTTTAAAAAGTAGGACCTTCCCCTTTAGACAAAGTAGAAAGGTAACAGCAGTGGCCTAAACCTCTGGAAACTACCCAGTTACTGGCCTCTAGAGAAAAATCAGTTGGCTAGCTTTGGAAATGCTGCCTGGCCCTGCCTATGGCCCCCCACACAATTCCTCTAGGTTTTTCCTCTGTGAGGATGACTGATGCACTTTCTCCTGGGCTGCACTGGTATAATCCTACATAAGAATACCTCACCTAAGCTCTTGGTTTTTTGGTTTTTGATTCCCACCCCCCATCCTTATCTTTTAGTAGTGGCTAGAGCACTGAATTTGAAGTCAGAAAGATCTGAATTCAGATCTCACCTCTGATACTTATAAGTTGTATGACCATGAACAAATCAATTAACCTGAGTTTGTTTCCCATCTGAAAGATAGGTATAATGATATTGGTTATGTTAACTTTCCAGGGTTGTTTTGAAGATCAAATGAAATTGCGCATGTAAAACGCTTGGAAAATTTAATCGCTATATAAAATTTCAGTTATTATTATGTCTGAAACACCTGATGACTGATTCCCTATCATTGTCTCACAGGAAAACCCAAGATGTACTTCCCTGACCTGCTGGAATCTGCCCTGGCTTCAGAAAAAGCATCTATTAGTTCACAGATAATAAAATAGTCCATTTGACTTCTAGTCTCTCACCCTTCCTCCTCAGAGTCATCCATCCTTCTGTCTCTGCCTTGATCCCTGGATGAAACCTTTTCCTATATATGCTCAATAAATTATTCAGCTTATTTTTTTATGTGTCCTTGGAGCTGAAGGGAACTAGGAATGGGGGGCCATAGAGGAGGGGATATCAAGAAGTAGGAGAGTGGTGGCATTTCTCCCCTATGTGATCATAACAGTCCGTATTTCTATGCTTCAAATATCTTAAGGTTTCCAAAGCACTTCCCTTGTAAGGCAAGTAGTGAAAGTAACATCAGCCATTTTATAGATAAGGAAATTGAGGCAAAAAGAGGTATAGGTTTTTTAAAAAGATCCTTGACTTGTATTTAAGTGATATGACTTCTAGTCCCAATTCCGGCACAGACGATTAAAAACAACAGCAGCAGCAGCAGCAGCAGCAAAAAAAGCCTAACCTTTTATCCATATTGGGAAGGCAGAACAATAGCAAAGTAAGTTCAATGCAGCCAAGTGAGATATAGTGCAGATTCTATAGGATCTAAGACTACTATGATAGCTGTGAAGGCCTGGAACCCACCTTGTCCAATGTGATAAAACTTTTCCTAGGAATCTAGGAAATAGATGGGAAGGAAGGGAGGAAACAAGCATTTATTAAACACCTACTATGTGCTGGCTGCTATGCTGAGTCCCTTGCAAATATTATCTCTTGAACTCTAGAGTCTGTCCCTAGACTTGAAGACAGGAATTATTTGTCAGAAAAGAAAGGAAGGAAGGAAGGAAGGGAAGGGAAGGAAGAAGGGAAGGGAAGGGAAGGGAAGGGAAGGAAAGGAAGGAAGGAAAAGGAAGGGAAGGGAAGGGAAGGGAAGAAAAGGAGTCTCAAAGGAAAGTCATTTGGATGTCCAGGAGAGGGCAGCATATCCTAGCATAACCAGGAAAATGCTAACAAAAATCAAAATCCCTTACTCCCAAGAATTTTAGACATACAGAAATTTAAAGAGTCTAAGGTTTTTAGAGTTGAAAGGAACTTTAGAAATCATCTAGTCCAGATTGCTAAATTTATACATAAGAAAGCTGAGACCCAGAGGTGGAAAGGGGCTTCTCTAAAAAAAAATGAGAGTGGCAGAGGCCAGAGCAAAGACCCCAGTCTTGAATGTTCTTTCCTCTATGTTGGACAGGTACAATGTAGTATAACCCTTCCTAAATGAGGGGCAGGAAGGGAAAGAGAATAAATATGTGTGCCATACACAAGAGATCCAGAGCATCCTTAAGTTTTTGAAAGAGGACATATTAAACACATAATTCTTAGCTGTTCCTCTTTCAGAGAAATACTTCACAGAATTATTCAAGAAGTCTGGACCTAAGAAAGTATCTTGAAATATCCTAGGAAAATTATTGCAATAGACTCAAGAGCTCTTCTCTTATTCCTGTTTCTCCTCTCTCAAACTTTACAATACCTTGGATTCTGATTATCTTAGTAGACTATAGCATGTTTCCAATGGTGATTTGCTTATGCTCAATATTATTGGGGATATATATGATAGGAAAAGAACATGTGACCATGTCACAAAGCAAGAATAAGAAAAAATAGACAGCTCAAGTGACACATTGATATCTACAAGATTTTGGAGAAGCTCTGTGATACAGAAGTTCTTAGAATCAAGAGAACAGGATTTGACCTGGATCCAAATGCCAGCTGTGAGATGAAACTGTTATGTGACCATGGGAAATTACTTCACCTCCCTGACCCTCTGCTTCTTTCTCTCTAAAGTAGGGATAATAAAATTTGAACCACTTACCTGTTCTACAATTATTGTTGAAATAGTGCTTTGGATACCTTAAAGCACCACATAAAATATGAATGTTTTATATTAAGAGAACCTGAAGAAAGATTTCAGTGCATTGGGAGGATTTATGGAAAGACATGGACAAGAATTAGATGGGCATGACGGGTTGAAATCTGCATTGGTACAGGGAATGCATGCTTGTATCAATGAGATCATTGACTCATAATTTTTTTAATTGACATGCTCATGATTCAATTAATCAATAAAAATTATTAAGCACCTACTATGTACCAGGTACTATACTAATTGCTGAGGATACAAAATAGGCAAAAGACAGTTCTTGTCCTCAAGGAGCTCAAACTCTAACGAGGGAGACAACAAGCAAACAAATATGTACAAACAAGCTATATACAGGAAAAATAGGAAATAATTAAAAGAAGAAAGGCACTAGAATTAAAAGAGATTGGAAAAGCTTTCCTGTAGAAGATGGGGATTTAGATGGGACTTGAAGGCCAGGGAAGCCACAGGTCTTGCAAGATGATGAGGGAGTCCATGCATGGCATGGGAAATAGTAAGTAAAAATGTCTGGAGCCAAGAGATGGAGTGTCTTGTTGGAGGAACAATAAGGAGGTCAGTATCACTGAAGATAAGAGTATATGGTGGAAAGGGAATAATGTATAAAAAGACTAGAAAGGTGGGGAATGGGTCTAGATTATGAAAAGCTTTGAACATCAAGAAGAGGATTTTTTATTTGATCCTGGAAGCAGTAGTAGCTACTAGAATTTATGCAAGGTGTAGGGGAAGGGGATTGTCACATGATCTGACTTACACTTTATTTTTTAAAAATTATTTTTAACATTCAATTATTTTTAAGTTCCAAATCCCCTCCCTCTAGCCCTTCCCCACTCACTGAGAAAGTAAGAAATACCAATATTATATCTTTTTTTAAATTTTTATTAATTTATTTTGATTTATCAACAATCACTTCCATATGCTTTTGAGTTGAAAATTTTTCTCCCCCTTCCTGCCCACTACCCTCCCCAAGATGGCGCACAATCAGATATAGGCTATACATTTACATTCCTATTAAACATATTTTCACATTAGTGATATAAGTAAAAATTGACACCAATAGGAGGAACCATCAGAAAAAGGAAACAAAACTCAACAGAAGAGAAAAAAAAAGATAGCAATTCAACTTCCATAGTTCTTTCTTTGGATGTGGATAGCCTTTTCCATCACTAGGCCTCTGGAGATGTCTTAGATCCTTGTATTGCTGAGAAAGGTTAAGTTTGTCAATGTTAGTCATCACACAACATGGTTGTTATTGTGTACAAAGTTCTCCTGGATCTGCTCACTTCACTCAGTGTCAGACCATACAAGTCTTTCCAGGTTTTTCTGAAATCAGCCTGTTCATCATTTCTTATAGCACAATAGTATTCCATTACATTCATATACCACAACTTGCTCAACCATTCCCCAATGATGGGCATCCTCTCAATTTCCAATTCTTTGCCACCAAAAAAGAGCTGCTATGAATTTTTGTACATGTGGGTCCTTTTCCCATTTTGATCTCTTTGGGATATAGCCCTAGAAGTGCTATTGCTGGATCAAAGGTATGCACATTTTTATAGCCCTTTGGGCATAGTTCCAAATTGTTCTCCAAAATGGTTGGATCATTTCACAACTCCACCAACAATGCATTAGTGTTCCAATTTTCCCACATCTTCTCCAACATTTATCATTTTCC